AACTTTATTATATTGATTTGCACAGGATCAACTTTTGACAGTTAAAAGTCTTTCAGCCAAGTTGGGCCCATTAGAAAATTCTCTTCGACGTATTGAGGAGCTTGATGTGCAATGCAAAGAGGCAAATGTTGAAGAAAACGATTATACGGTTTTCTCTATTGATGATTTAAAATTTGAATTGGGACTTGTACAGCAAGCGATCAATAAAAAATCTGCATTCATTGAAAATCAAGTAATTTTTTTTTTTATTCGATTTTCCATTAATTCTTTGCGTATTATTTAGTATTTATTTATACGCATAACAGATGGTAGCAAGGAATATGACAAACCTTACACCAGCTCAATTAGAGGAATTTGAAGGTACGTTCCGTCATTTTGATACCGATTCGTCGAATACGTTAAATCCATACGAATTCAAGGCTGCTCTGGCTAGTTTGGGAATAGTTTATGATGTAGGCGATATGATTTATTTATTTATAAAGTAAATGTGTAAATGCAGATTGGACTGAACGTTTTTATTTTTGTTATAGGATACGGAGTTGAATACAGCATTTAACCAAATGTGTGAAGGGCAGTCTGAAGCTTCTTTTGAACAGGTAAGATTTAACGTTATACCATTATTGAGCGCAATGACATAATTTATATGTGTAAATTTTGATATGTCTCCATACTAATGTTTATAATTTTAATTTTTCGAATTTTCATTTATTTCCATTCATAACCATCAGTTTATCCGTTATATGGTTAGTGTTACAGAAGACAAGACTTCACCCGACCAACTTCGACAATCATTTAAAGTTGTAGCTGGGGACAAACCCTTTGTAACAGAACTTGATCTAAGAAGATCATTATTACCAGAAAATGTTTTATCTTATTTAAAAGAAGCTATGCCACCACTGGAAAGTGGATATGACTATTCTAAATATTTGGATCAAGTGTTTCAACAGTAAATTGTTTATTTAATGTTTTTATAATGTATGCCTTTTTTTTGGTACAGTAATTTTATAGGAAACTTATGAATTTAATGTTATTATTGACTTAATTTTCATAATTGATGGATTATATTTATTAATAAGTATTTTCAACTGGATATAAAATGTAAAGAAGTATATTCAACTGGATATAAAATGTAAAGAAATAAAACAAGTAAATAATATTGGCTTTGAACTTCGAAAAGCCAAAATACTGTGATTATTTAGAAATTTATTTTACTATATTGAATCTTTAGAGTTTCCCAAATCTGATAGGACATTTGAATCATTTTAATAATTGTTGCAGATTATAATGAAATTGATTAAAGTGAAATTTGGAGGTTCTTTTTAAGCCTCTCAAACACAAATATACTCATTAAAATCATACTCCTAAATTCAAACAAATAACCCAAAAATTTTATCACAACGCGTAAATTTCAAATTTTACTTTAATCCGATTTTTACATTTATCACATAATTTTACCATGGATGTATGAATCAGTTATTGACACCGGTTGGTAGTCGTTAGATCAGATAGGTAACATTTAGGCGGGTAGCTACTAAGTAGTGATAGCAAAACAACCCATTTTTCACATGCGATATTTATGATTTGGATAGGCTGAAGCCTGGATTTTAATGTATTCTAACCATAATTATCACACGTTTTTGTTTTTACAATCCAACTATTAAGTATAAAACATTACGTGATAAATGGCGCGTTTCTTACATTTATCTTTGACCAGCAACTGACAAATTATTTTTTAAAATTCAGCCAGTCAACAGCAATAAAAGTTAAAATACTAGTAACAGCTTTTTTATATTTTATTTTTTACGTCTTTTATTTGTTCCAATTTTCATAGAAAATTTCGGCTTCCCTTTTAAGGAATCGAACTTTCTTTTTTGACGTTCATTCTTTTTAGGTTTTTCGTTAACTTTTAAATTTACATCATTATCCTCATCATCATCCTCATCATCTTTAAATAAATCTTTTTCATCATCATCAACTTTAAACAAACCTTTTTCAACACCCCTTGAATAGCCATTCATATTATCATATTCACTCTCTATATCCGAAAATTCATCATCTAAGTCATCATTATCATCATCCTCAGAATCATTCTCAGAGTCATTCTCATCATCCTCAGAATCATTCTGACTATCCCCTGAAACATCCAGATCTTCAGAATCACTTTGAGAATCGCCAGGTGTTTGTTCTTTTTGTTCCTTAACTAGCTTTCCTATAGTGTGCAGGAAAATATGAATGCATATAGTATCAAGAGAGTCATTTGTATTAGCTAGAAAGTCAAACCTTTTTTTCCGCCACTTGTAATAAACCGGTGAGCCTCCTTTTTAGCCTGCTTTTTCTCAACATTCTTTTCCTGCTCCTTTCTCCTCAATGCAGCTAGTTGCTTCCGTTGTTCGCGTTCATGTTGTATCCTTTTGATTTCTTTAGGTGTTTTATGAACTATTTTATAATGATAAAATATGATAAATTTGCATATTGCCTAAATAGAAATAGCAAATAAAAAAAAATATATACATACTAAATTCATGGTACAATATTTCCCCATCACATAATCCAGCCTGAATTTTAACCAATAGCAATTCCATACGAGGACCTATTTCCCTTAATTTAACAGCACGTTTATCTGATTTTCGGTTATTCTTGCCAACAAAATTTTGAGCCAAAGTTACGGTTGCCTCAACACCCCTTTCTGCTTCACTCTCCGAGAAATGATCTTCTCTATTGGTACCATTATATAAACATTAGGTGCTTTAAAGTTATTACTAAAATAATATTTCTTACCTTAATACATATTCACTTATATCATTATATTTGTGTAAGTTAGGAACATTGGTTGAAACAATTCTTCGTACGCTTTTACTTAAACCAACAGGTTTAATATCAATATTATAATGCCTAAAGTCAATATGCTTTGTATCGGAATTATAATTGAAAAGAACAACTCTACGTGCTTCTGATAATTGAATCTTTCAAGAACATATATATATATATATATATAAGCGTTTGTTTTCTTTTTTTCCAAATGAACAATTAAAATAATAAATGTCATAATATTACCTTATTAACATTAATCGAAGGAAACATATTTTGAAACATATTTATCATCAACTTTATATGATTTTCCTCTCCTTTAAAATTGTTCAAAACTAACTTTTTTTTTTTTTAGGGAATATAATTGGTTTTCAAATATAACAAAAGATTATTATCAATTATGTAATTACAAATGGTGGGATGATATTAATTAATTATACATACCAAAGGAGAACAATTGTACTCTGTTCCAAGATTTTTTGGATTTAATTGTGACGATAAAACGTCTCCAATCAATGAATACTTCAATACCTTGAAACATAAAGTGGGCCCTCTGGGTGTTCTCGTTAATCTGAAGTTGGTTCCATTATCTGTACGTGTAAATATTAAGAATTGGGTTACACCTAATGGGCCTGCTATTGATACAAAATCCTTTAGTCTATTTCTCTTGCGTTCCTATTCCAAGACAAAAAAAAAAATTGAATTACATAAATTAAGAGCAACATAATTTAAGAGCAACATAATTTAAGAGCAAAAATGGATTTTAGATAACCAACCTTTAATCGTATAGCAGTATTAGGTTCCATCACTTTACGTATATCTTTTACTAATGCTGCTACAGATTTACCAACTTTTCCCGACTTGAAAACAAAACTTTTTTGAACTTTGGGAGCCTCAGGGTTTGCGGATTCGTCCGCTTGTGGGACATGAGTTCTTCTTTTTCTTCTCTGATTTTTTTAAAATACATTAAAGACTTTATTAAATTTTTACTATAAAATACATATTAAATGCTTACTCTCTTAGCCATTAAGAAAATTAAAAAAGATCTCGATCTGCGTAATATATATTTGAATAATATCATTCACGTGATCCTGGTCGATCAAAATTATTTTTATTATCTGCCCGATTTCTAAACATCCAACAGTCGAAATTGAAATGCTATTTTTTTGTCAAAATGTAAAATTGACTAAGCTAGAAATTGGCTTTAAGCCAATATTTTAATACAACTTTTGAAGTTTGAATTAATGTTATACATTATTTCATCTCTACACAAATAATTATTGCATGGATTTTTCAAACTATCATTTGTTTAACAATAATGATAATACAAAATATTTATGGGAGAATTTCATGACTATATTATAAATGATCAAGGAAAGGAGAAAAAAAAAAAAAAAAAGATTGATAGCTTTTACGCAACAACAAAGAAAATAAATTCAAAATATAAAATAAATTGATATTTTCCAGATATCAATACAATGTAAATTAATAATACACAGTATTATCCCACCTTTTTAACATGCAGCCTTGGCTTTAGGAGCAATTTTCTTATTAACTACAGTAGGATCCACAGCGTATCCTGAACCTGTTGCCACATCACCATCAAAATGAAATAATGCATCGATTCCAATAGTCTGATCCGAAGGAATAATACCATCAACGTTAAATTCATCAATACCATAACTCATGTCATTTATATAAGAGTTCATGTCAATATCCATTAAGTTATCGGATGTTGTAGGGTCAGAATTGTTAGTATCGGTAGGAGCAAACGTTGGCATAAACACCTCGGACTCAAAGAAAACAAAAAAAATAAAAACCATTAGAATATAATGAACGATTTATTCCAACGAATTCAAACGAATTCAAAAATACTTACAAGATCGTTAATATTTCCACCCGTATTTAACATAGAAAAAGTATTATCATCAGACAAAGCTAAAGCATCCATAAAAGTTTCCATTTGATATGTCAAAACGTTATCAATACCATTCATAGCGTTAATATTATCACCATTCTCTAATGCAGGTTGGTTCGTAGAGGCATTAAAGTTAATTGCATTATTAATCGTGGCATTTTCAGGAAAATTTAATGTGTTGTTAGTCAAACTATCAATATTAAAATTGTTAATGTTAATTTGATTCTGAATTTCCGATGATTCCTTGCAAGATGCAGACGATGTGTCAATTCCTATGTTATTAAAATTCGTAATATCAGCCCAATAAGGTGATGGTTCAAACTTAGAAATTGTGTTTTCGAGCATATGTTCAATTTTATTTTCCGTACAAAGTTGCATGTTATTAGATGAAATAGACGTATCGATGGTTGCAGTATCGACATGAAAGGGTGGTTCAGTTACCCTTACATCCAAAATGTTATCAGTCATACTATCTTCAATAACATCATCGCCGTAAATTTCTGCAAAAGGATTAACGAACATATGGTCTAACTTGGCAATGTCAAACTCTTCGTCTGGTGATTGTTCTCTGGGAAATTCTGTGTCGATAAAATCTTTCTTGAACGAAAAAGGGTAGATAAATTCGGCGATATGACTTGAATTTTCTGAAAATGGGGGAATATCAACTCTATCAAAAATTTCTTTTGAAATTGGTTTTGAAATTGGTTTTGATAACGGAGCTTCATTTGAAGGTCGCTTAGAATTTGTTTTCGCCGGTGGGATGATTTTAGTAGTATCATCAACTCTTTTTGAAGTTCTTAATTTCGCCGATGAAGTATCAACATTCTTTGAAATTCGTTTAGAACCTAATCTCATTAATTGAGCTTCAACTTCCTTCGAACGCGTAAAATTTGTTCTCATCTCAGTCCTATCGACTTCCTTTGATGCACGTTTTGATTTGGTTTGGGCCGATGAAACATTATCTAATCTTCCCAAAGTTCGTTTAGAATCTGTTTGTATCGAAGTCTTCTTGGATCCATTCTTAATTACATGGTCATAACGCGCATTTCCTTTACCCTTTGTAATCTTACTTTTGATATGGGCATTTGAATTCTTTATTTTAACACCAGATTCATTATTATCATCGCATTGGATATCCAAAATAGCAAAATCATTTGTAATTGAGCCATGTATAATTGCTTGACCCGATAAATGAGTTTGTTTATAATAAAATCCTTTACTTTTAAGGATCTCAATACATGTATCGATTAAAGTTACGACTTTAATCGCACCGTCAAGTGCACCATCAGGACTTTCTTGTTCTGCTTCGTATAACATTGTCTTGATTGTGGATTTCATAGAATTTACTGAATCTAAAGAAATTATGTTATTGCGAACAAGTTTTATTTTTCTAACGTTTTTATCGGAAGTTATTGTCATTTTTTTGCTGAACCGAAAGAGAGAAGATACAGTAAAATATATATTCAGTTTGAAGATCAAAGAAATAATAAACTGAATAATTGAAATTATTCGTTTAAAAGAATAAAAGGGGTCACCTATTGTCATTACAAAAAAACGTCATGATTTCGTAGT